CGCAGAACCTGTGAGTAATCTCAGACAGGCCCTTTCCCTTAGTTCAAACGTTTACTCAGTCACTACCCCTGTTCATGTTGCTTTTTAAAGTTCTCAAGGATTTTATCAGCTCTGTAGTTGAATGACTACAACTGTATTTAGATTCAATGACTGGCCAAGACTTTAAGATAGAATTGATGTTTTTGAACAAGTCCTGACTTCAAAATCTAGCACCTAGCCGAATATCTGACACATAGGGAGCACTCAATAAATATTTACCGAAACATTAACCATGTCTTATGTCAATTTTTACTTCATATGATGCCTTACTAGTAGCCTTGGCACAAGTGGAGATTTAACAAATATCCAGAAAGCCATCTACTGCTTGATTACTCAGAGCTGAAAAATGCCTCCACTAAATAACATCAACAGAGTTAAGCAGCATAAGATTGCTCCAATACCTTTCTCGCCCAAAGCAGCACATGCGTAGAGAAAAGCTTCTGGTATTGATTGACACTCAATTTGAATTCACCTGAAGTGTTGATTCTTGCTATTTCCTTGTAGGTAAAATAAACTTGTGTTGACCAAATCTCTGCTTTTATCTAAAATACCACTTCCTCAAAAACTATCGCAGGTTTCTCCAGCACCCTGTTTTAACCATATCCTCCAAATACTAAGAATCTAAAACCAAAGAAATAAGAATGCATGGGGTAGAAGAGGGGGACTAGTAGGAGGGGCAGAAATTTTCCAGAGGCAGCTAACAAGACCCTACCCAGGAATCTATTCCCCAGACAGCTGCCGGGTACTGCTCTGCTGGAAGTCCTACTTGGAACAGCAAATGTGTTAAACAGCCTCCCAGTTTTGATCTGTACGTCAGGCTTGTGCACAACAGCGTTGGGAAAGCCATTTTAACATAGCATTATGTTCATGTAGCCTAAAAAACAAGCTGCTAAAATGTGAGCTCTTTTTAGTTGATCAAAAATGTGAAAAATAAATTCCTCTCTTCAACCCTGAATTATCCCCACATCCCTGAGACACACACCATGGGCATAGAGTTAGAGGAGCAGGCAGCCTCCCATGGGGGCTGCAATCATGTCCAGGTAGCCCACCGCACACAGTACACAACGACCAGGCAATACATGATGTGTAAGTAATGGATGCAGAGCTTTCTTGTGAAGGAAACACAACAAATACCAGTTTGCTGTTAGGCCAGCCATCCCACAGATGGCAGTCCAGGCAACAGCAGATAATACAGCCAGGAGTGAATGTCCCTTCACATTCAATGAGCTTGTCCTCATCGAGCACGAAAACTGAGCACAGTTACCATGATTTATATGCAGAGACTTTTGTTTCAGGTAAGTTTTCCCTTAACATTTTATTTAATATTAATTTATATTCACATACATTTATTATAATTATTATGTGTTAATACTTAATAAATTAATTTTATTTAAAATAATTCTTGAGAAATCACTGTCATAAAATTTTTATCAAAGATAAATCTGATCATTGCTTCCCCACGAGAGCCATCCCTGAAAGTAAGAATTTTCAGAAGCTTTAGGTAAAAGAATGACATATGACGGTAAAAGAGACAGTGTGTCACATTCCCTCTGAGCCTTGTCATCTTTAAGTTAAGGCTGTTTTCCTTTCTTAGTTGTAACATTATTGCTAAAATCTGAGAACAGATAACTTTCTTAATTAAGCCTTTAGGATTCATATATGCTAGTTGTTATTTGTTTATGTGTTTATTCATCTATTTCTTTATTTTAGTGAGAAACTAATCATAAAAAAAAACTAAGCAATACTGATTTAGCATACAATACTTTGTTATCACCACAGCGTGATATGCGGAAAGCCTTATAAATATCAGGGACTACACAAGTGGATTCTTAGAGATGTTTAGGGATTGTACTAAATCGAATCATTATGTTGAAGATTTCCCAACAGGCTATGACCTAGATCCTAAAGATGATTATGCTAATTCTTTCTTTCAGGCCACAGTTGGGTAAATTATGGCTTTTGTTTATTCAACCACCAGTTATTGCACAATTACTTGGTGCCAGGGACTAGAGATTCAGTGGCAAGCAAGCTCTCACACAGCTTCCAGTCAAAGGCAGAAAAGAGGGAATTGAACAAGGAGGTCCACGTGGAAGTGCTATTACCCAGAACTGGGGAGTCAGGGGAAGTACCCCATGAATAGATAAAAACAAAAGCCTGAAAGATGAAGATCTGAGCATAGGAGGGTCTAATACAGAGATGCAGGTGTGAGCCCGAAGGCACAGACCCCAGAGCGTTGGGACATAACCACATTCAGAGTAGTGAAGTCACATCGTGTGGGGCCTTGTAAATTATGTTTAAAACTATAAGGTTTATCCAAAAGCCAGTGGGAAGCCACTGAACAGATGTTAGCAGGCAAGTAGCACCATCAGATCTGCATGTAAGAAAGTTCACTCTGGCTGTCACATGGCCAGTGGGTTGGAGGGGGCAGGTGCAGAAGCAAGAAGCCCAACGGGCAGAGGGAAGGGCAAGTGTCGTGTCTGGGAAGGTGGGGAACTATTAAGAAGGTAAAACCAACAGAACTTGGTGAGTTAATACCTTTGGTGCTCTGTGAAGCTTTAGCTCTGAAAATTCTGCTGTTTCTTTCAGAGGAGAGAAAAGACTATTATCAGATAACAAACAACTCAACTGAACGGAAAAAAAAAATGTTCATCTACCGCACACATAATAAAATTTCAAATGCTTAGAATCTAGTTTCTTGAGCAGTTTTACTAGTACCATTTACTGTACCAACCTCAATAACTATCAGGTCAGGATCAACAAAAGTGCCTTAAAGTATTGCCCTCCCCCCTGAAGATGGTAGGCTCCTCATCATAAGCAGCAAGCAGAGTGCTCAGCACACAGAGCTCAATAAATGTTAGGTTAGTGGAAATGAATTGTATTTCGGGATGTGATTAGGTCAAATGTGTCAAGCCTACTGAAACTACCTAGCATAAAAATAGGTCTCCTATGCTACATTTTATTTAGAGAACAAATGACAGCAGAAAATTGAACTAATTTTCTGAATGGAAATATAAAGTAGGGTAACCATTGAAAAGCAGCTGGAAGAAATGCTTAAGAGAGATGTTTAGCTATACCATCTAGACACTGATGACTATGAGATAAAAATAACAGGTAAATAGGCACACAAGGAGAACTGAGCTGATTGAGTCTAGGTGTGAAGGATGGCTCAGGAAATGAGAAAAACCCATAAATAGCCAGAGTTCCCACCAGTAAGGACAGAATCCACTTGCTCCCTGTCCAAGGGGAAGCAGGTTACATATTATAGCAGTACTTGATTGGAAATTATATGGGTGGTATGTTAGCCCTCTGGTGATCGCATCTGCAGTCTGTTCTAATAGCCATGGTTTTACTTGCCTTAAGATGTGGAGATTTGAACTTGTTTCAGATCATATTTCCATTTCCAGGACCTATGTAGTACAATGGCTGATACATGATAGAGTCAGGAGAGGTAATCAGTGAACATTAAATGAATGTTTGAATGAATGAATGAATGAATGAATGAATTCATTAAAGTGTTTAGGTGCACTCTTATTATCTTAGTTTCCATTTCTTCTTAAACATATGTGATGAACTCTTTCCAGCTGGAACACTACATTCTTTCAGTAGGATAGGAAAACAGAGTAAAAATTAAACCCTCCATTACTTTTCTCAAGGATCCAACCATTCTAATTCTCCCTTTCCATTTCTTTGCTCCATATAACACATACACACGTCCTTATAATCATATGCATTTTTTAAAAAAATCTTATAAACGTTGGGTACTGTAAACTTTAGTGTTCCTCTTTTACAAATCTGTGATGGCCACCTCTTTTTGCCCTTGACCACAGGACCCTCATTTAACACCCCATGCATATGCCTTCATGTCTAACCCTGGCCAAGAATCCCATTGCAGCTGCATGTATGCTCTTCGTTGTTCCTCTTATCTTCATCATGATTATTCACATTTCCATGTTCAAACAACACCTACCCATTTGTGTCCAAGGGATCACATTTTCCTTTTCTGCAATTTTTAGATGGCAATTTTCCCAGGGTACATAACTGACTATAATTTGTGTTTTCATTTTTAGTTTTCTGCAGTCCTGTCTCCCAAAGTTTCTACCATTTTCATCACTAACAAGCTTTTCCTCCTCATTTAGAATTAGCATCAGAATCAAAGTGCTCTCATTGTTTTCTCTATTTCTGGGAAATGAAATTGTTAATGAAGCAGAGAATTAATCAGCTGCCCTGCTTTTTAGTCAGATGTCCCTTCCAGGAGCTATCTAGTTCAATTTCTCCATCACTATTCCTACAACCTGCCTTGACATCCATTTCCTAATTTGCATCAGGAAACCATTGGCCATGTCCCCTATTTGGCAGGAAGCCCCTACTATATTCTCTCAACACCCCACTTCTGGTTCTGCTTTTGGCTCTACTCTAAAAACTCTATCCTATTCATCCATCATGAGGTCATTAGATTTGCCAAAAGATTCACACCATACAATCCCACAGTACCCCACATCCCTTCCTATTAGAAATACCATGTTATCTACATCAACTTTTTATCTTTCCCTTCATCATTAGTGTCCTTGTCTAATAGAGGTAATACACTTGCTCAGTTGACTTACTTAAATAGGCAAATTTATAGCTATAAAATTATTTTTAGAAAAACCTACAACGTCAGCATAATAATTGGCAGAATGTTTCCCATAGAGGTGGCATGAGAGGTTGCACTAATACCATGGTTGACCTCAAACACAGAGATACATTACGTACCTTACATGAAAATCATGGTTATGTTTTTGATCTTTAAAAGCAAATAGCTAGCATAAGAAACCCCGAAACCTAACCAAAGGATCATGTAATTCCAACGTGGCTAAGGAAATGGAGGACAATAAATAGCTAGCCGAACTTAAGATCAACTTTTTAAATTTCTTACTCATTCATCAAACTGACGATGAATATTTAAGTCGAAGGGTACTTACAAGAGCATTGCCATCAGTCTCCATGTATACTGTCAAATTGGTAGAAACAAAAGCTAGAAAAGAAAAAAAGATTCTAAGTTAAATGTGGGATTAAAGTGTTCATAAAAGCATATAGCTCTTTGACAGGAGGAAAGGCATTTCTATTTTGATTGATGAATTTCACAATAAAAGCAATTCATTAAATAGCTTTTTAACACAGAATTCAATAAGCCAACATTTAAAACTGAGTTCCTAAAATAAGCCAGAATTTCATCTGCACATTGGTTCGTATCCTTTCAAGTCCACAGCAAGACATGCACATTATTTACATACTTAATATTGTGTTACATATAAACAAATATCTTTGAAAAACAAAACTGTTTTCCTCTCCATGATGAACAACACAGTGTAAGATGTGGAAATATTTTGATCCATTACTATTATTCTGATTGTATTAACGAAACAAGTTCAAAAACGTAACTAATCCCTTTGCCTCAGAAGTCCCAACTTCAGTATGAAGATGAGCCCCTTTTGATGTATTGCACTTTGTAGTGGATTACCTGATAGACAAGATGTTCTGTGGTTTCAAGAAAAGCAGATGAAAACAAAAGCTCAACTTTTCAGAATTTGACAAGCGAAGAAACTTGTTAAACATCCACCAGCCACTGAAACTCTTCCCAACACAGAGAGACTTTCAATCTCTTTCAGTGATACCAGAGATATAGACCCATGGTCTGTGTGACTTTATTCCTTATACCAATGGTTCCCAAATCTCAAAGAATGGATCCCCCTTTTTAATGTCAAAAATGTCATATACACATTATGTAGGTATGAGAAAAGACTTATTTATAAAATACCAAAGAGAAAAACCACAGTAAAAAAATGACTCAAATTTAATTGCTTATTTTTATTTATTTAAAAGAATAGACTAGGGGTGCCTGGGTGGCTCAGTCGGTTATGTCGGCCTTCAGCTCAGGTCATGAATCCCAAAGTCCCAGGATCGAGTGCCACATCGGGCTCCCAGCTCAGCAGGGACTCTGCTTCTCCCTCTGCCCTTCACCCCACTCTCGCTCTCTCTC